CTGGGTTTGGGGGGGGCAGTGGGGTGGGGTGTGCGCTGTTGTGAGGGCGGGGAAGAGGAGGGAGGGGTCGGTGTGGACCGTCACCCCTCCTCTCAGACCTCCCATCATGGAGAGACGGTGTTGCAGTGGCCTGTGTGTCGGGAACCCACCCCAGAATCTGTTCCCCATGCTGCCTCGGGGCCCCCCACCCACCCAAGCCCTGGCCCTCGGCTCTGCCTCTTCTGAAAGCTGACCCCCCTTCCACCCTCCCCCCTTCAACCCCACAACAACACAAAGGTGCCGCCACGTGCGACGCGCACCACATGACGGAGCCGGAGCCGAGCGGGCGGGGCGTGCGGTTGTGCCTGGAACGTGGCCTGGCGGCCGCAGGTGTGGCCCCAGAGGAGGTGACCTACGTGAACGCGCATGGCACCTCCACCCCCGCCGGCGACGTGGCTGAGTTCCGGGCCATCCGTGCGGTGCTAGGGCACGACGGCCTACGCATCAACTCGTCCAAGGGTGCCATCGGGCACCTGCTGGGCGCGGCGGGGGCGGTGGAGGCGGTGGCCACCATCCAGGCGCTGCGCACCGGCTGGCTGCACCCAAACCTGAACCTGGACGAGCCGGACAAGGGCGTGGACGCCTCCGTCCTCGTGGGCGGCGTCAAGGAGCAGGTGTGGTTTAAGGGGGGGGGGGGAGTGAGCGCTGTACGGCGGTGTCGAGGGAGCCAGGAGGAGGTGCAGGGTGCACATGAATCGCCCTCGCTGTGCAGCCACAGCAGCCCGAGTGACCTCGCTGACCCCTCTCCCAATCGCTGCGCAGGCGGATGTGAAGGTGGCGCTGTCCAACTCCTTTGGCTTTGGTGGCCACAACTCCTGCGTGCTGTTCAGAAAGTTTGAGGAGTGATGAAAGACTCTTTGCTGAGCTCCTCCTGTCGTTCCTGCCACGAGGGGCTGTTGCCTGATTTCAGTTGGATTACCTTGAATGGCTGTCCCACCCGCTTCGAAGTCGGACCTCCCCAGGGTCGGTTTGGAGGCACCGGTGAAGCTGGTCATCGCCATCAAATTGGGGATGGCGCAGTGGGGGAACCTGGCATGGATGGCGATCTCCCCGGAAGACATCTGTGGAGTACATTGATAGCCTCACGAGCCTTCGATGGCGTAGTCTGCTCGAACATTGTCAAATTACTTGGACTCGAGAGGGGGCAGGGTCAGACATGGCGACCGCGCTGGCACGACTCGTACCCAAGTACGGGACAGCATGCCGGCACATTGGCGTCTTAAACTACTCAGAATCTCATCGAGCCAGCGCCTCCCCCGCAGACATGTGTTCGGTGCGAGCACGGAAGCCCGTCGGAACCTCGTCCGGGTCGACGACCAGACCCTTGGCTGGACGTTTGGAAACACCCTGGTCCTCGCAGATGTGGAGACAAGCACCCAACGCTTGTCCTCTGCATTCGCCCACGGAATCACAGCCCTGGAGAGCCTCCCTGGTCGACAGCTGCTCGCGGTGGCAGAGGGGGGGGCGCACCCCTGCGTGTCTCTAATCGAGGTCTCCACCCTGCGCCGCCGGAAACAGTTGACGCCGCCCCCCGCGTCATGCCGGGTGCGGAGGGGTATTCTGTTGTGTTGCTGTGACAGAGAGTGCGTTCCCGATCCACCTGCTCATCAGAGCTCCTGAATCCTGCCCCACTGCAGAGCATACTCTCTGTGGGGGCCACAGGGAATGGAAAATTTGTCGCAGGTCTCGTGTGGGCGGGTCCCAACCTCCCAGTCTCGGTCCTTGTGTGGGCCTGGGAGCGTTCGCGCGTGGCTGCGACCCTCACAGTGCTGAACCAGAGCGCCGGAGAGCGTCCGCCGGAACTGGACCTTGCCTTCAGCGCACCTGGTGGGAGAAGCGGGAGAGGGGTTTGGATGTGCGAGGTGCCTGGACAGCCTGGCCAATTCCGCCCATGCAGATGGCTGCACCATGCGCCAAGCAGCGCCTGGCTGGGCGAGCACCTTCTACCTGGGTGAGGCTCTTTGTCCTCAAGCATGCCGCAGTCGAAGGCGCCGAGGAGACATTGCACCTGCTTTCTGTGATCGGCGGGCCCACGTTCTTCCTGGCACGCGTGGATGACAGCGGCAGCGGGGCCAAGGTGCAGTCCTCGCCGCTGAGTCGACGCAAGGACAATGCCTTTGTGGCGCACTGCTGGATCTCATCCGGAGCCCACCCATCGCCACTCCTGGTGGGCCCTTGGGGTTGAAGGGGTTGCATTGCGTCACCGAGGACATCTGCCGCTGCATTCCAGAAATTGTGTCCCGAGGAGGTTGGTTTGATTTCACAGGCTCCTCACCGTCCGAATGGCGGCTCTACGCTGTCCCTGATCCTCTGAACGTTCCCCAAGCAGCCCACTTCCCCCACTCAATCCTCCTGCAGGCTGCGTGCACCGCAGCTCAGCTGCAGGTCATCTCTCCCGAGGGCGAGCTCCTGCACTGCATCGGCCTCGGTCCCGCCTTTAGGGCCACCTGCATCGCGGCGCATGCCGGGGAGGGCCTGGTGGTGGGCTCCTCCGCCACCGGCCCCGCTTTCCTCGCCCTCGATGACACGGGAGCGCCAACGCAGCTGGAGAGGCAGGAGCAGGGCGCCGTCGCGGCGATGTGCTGCCTGAGGACTGGCGCCGCCGCACTGTTTGGCAGTGGGAAGGTGGAGGTGTGGCACGTGGCCGGCGGCTCCGTGGAGCGGCGCGCGCGGCTCTGCCCCCCGCGCCACGCCGGCGCTGTGCGCAAGGTGTGCACCTGCCTGAGGCGGCCTATCGTGGTCAGCGCCGCGGCAGACCAGTGCGTCCGGCTCTGGGACGCCGCAGCCTGCGGCCTGGTGCTGGTGAGAGCCATGTCTGCTGCAGGGATTTGGCGGCTTGGTGTCGGCTTGCGGCCGTGGGAGTGGGGAGGGCGCCAGTGAGCTGTGTGGGGCGGTGTCCGGGTCCGTGCTGTGGTCATGGCTCAACAAACACCCTGCGATGCTCTGAGACCTGAAACCCTTCAGGAGGAGCACTTTGGGGAGGACATCATGAGCCTGGCTCTCCACCCGGCGGGACACATGATCCTGGTTGGCTTGTCCTCCCGCCTGCGCCTCATGACTGTTCTGGAAAAGGGATTCAGGCAAGGGAGGGCTGCCAGGGGTGGGAGAAGGGTGGCCGTGCAACAGCTTGAGCGACGGTTTCAACTATCGCCATGCGAAGATTGCAAGTGTTGTTAAAAGGGCGGTTTCCATCCACCGGGCACGAGCAGGCGGCCCCTGCATTTCCCATTTTACTCCCCTACTTCCACATGCAGCCCAGTCAAGGATCTGCCGGTGCGCGCCTGCCAGGCGTGTGCCTTCAGCCATGCGGGGGCGATGCTTGCAGCAGCCAACGGCCAGCTGGTCATGATCTACGACACCTGGACATGCCAGCTCATCACCATTCTCAGGTGCCTCCTCATCTCCCTGGGCTGCAATGGGACGCCTGTACATGCCAGAGCGTACTGCACCTAGGAACACTCCATGCACGAGGGCGGCCACCGGGCCAGCCCCTGATGTCAAGGGACCCTCGAGCCTTCCTTTGCCTCCCTCCCACGCCATCCGCCCAGGGCGCATGTGGGCCGTGTGGAGGGACTCACGTGGCATCGGCACGATGTCAAGCTCTGGAGTGTGGGGGCCGATGGCGGCGTGTACGAGTGGTCGGTCTCCGAGGGCACCAGGGTGTGCGAGAGCGTGATGCGCGGCATCCCCCTTTCCTCCCTGGTGACGAGGCCGGCTGGCTGGAGGGACGGGAACGACCGCATGTAGAGGTGGCCTGACTCAGAAAGAGGCACATTGCCGCTCCCAGATTGCTGACACAATGATGAAGCCCATGCCAGTACGGCGAGGGCGATGGGTATGTCCACAACCCCATGGCAGCGTGATCTGAAGCCTCCCTCTCCATCCCAAATGCCAGGCACTCCCTCCCGACGAAAAGCCCGCCGGGGCCAGTGCGTCAGATAGGCAGCCGGCTGCCCCTCTCTTGGCTGAGGAGTGGCCCAAGGCGGCTGTACTGACCGCAGAGGGTCAGCTCCTGCTCATGCAAAGCAGGACTGCAGGCGTCCTGACCCAAATGGCACTGCCAAGCCACACCACCGTGGCTGGTCTGGAGTCTCTGGGCGTCCTGGCGGCATCGCAGCATGGTGCGCTGGGCTCTCAGGGCCCATGATTTGACACAACGCAGAGGGTTTGAATGCAGCCCAAGCCTCTGCTGGGACAGAGCCTGTGCCCTTGAGCCTTGGCGCCTTCCTGAGGAGTAGTTATGATTGTCATGCATGCTTGCGATGGGCACAAGTCCTCCCACCCCTCTCCTCAGTCCATCCTTGCCATGTCAAGTCCTGTAGGCGGCTTGGGAATGGTGTACGCTGGGACAGCTGGCGGAGTGGCTTCTGTCGCCTGGTCTGCCCTCCTGGGCGCCGAAGGATGGAGCAGTGCTCAAGTGGCACAGGCAGGGCCCATGCCTGTCACTGCTCTGGCCCTGCTGGCCGATGAGAGCATGCTGGTTGCTGGGATGGCCGATGGCGCCTTGGCTTTCTTTGCCGTCATGGACAGGGTAGGTCCTGGAGTGGAGTCTTGCCAAAGTTTGTAGAGTAGGTGACCACAGGGACCGAGAATCCTCACGGTCGAGGTCTGGGACCTTGGAGGCCTCTGAACTCAGCACCAGCGCCTTCCTCAGCCACCCGTGTGCGGTCCATGCAGGAAGCAGATACCTCTCGGCGCACAGAGCTCCTTCCTTGGGCCAATGAGGTGTTGGTGGGCCGAGAGGAGCTCTCATCCCTGAGAGGGACAGTCGAGGAGCTGCAGGATCAGGTACATGATGGTGCTCACGGGGGGACGCTGGCTGTGGGACATGCAAGAAACTACCATGAGGTTCCCGTGCACAGCCTGGGAAAGTGAAGATTTCTTCAGCCTCTGTGGTTGCACACAGACTTGATAGATGCTCCAAACCTCTCATGAGCCCCTCCACAGGTGAAGGGCATTACAGGGCAACACGATTACCAGCTTCACGTGAGAGAGGTAGAGGCTGCTGAGAAGCTGGCAGCCCTCCGAGCCGAGCATGCAGCTGAGCTCCAGGCTGGCCTCGACAAGTGCGCGCGAGACGGGGCAGGAGCCAGATACCTCATATGAAGTACCCTCAGAGGGCTGCCACTCGTTGACTGAGAGATTGTATGTTCGTTGCATGGTCACTGGCGGTCATTTCGGTGCCCAAAGCTGAACACCATGCTCCCATGCCCAATCCCTCTCAGACTGACCGCAGCAGAGGCTGCAGCTGTTGAAGCTCGGTCTTTGGTAGCTCTGACTGAGGAGAGGCTGGAGGCCCAGCACAAGGTGAGGAGGGAGTGCATTATTGGATGCAGGACTGCTTGCCTTTCTGTGCAGTCATCCCCCTCCACAACTGGACCCGGATGGGGAGATACCCTCAAGTCCTGGTGCAGAAATCACACCTCAACCCAGCCTTCACCAACTGAGTTCTGTAGAAGGAAATGGCGGCCCAGCATGTGGCACATGCAGCGCTGCTCCGCAACTCCCAGCAGAAGATGGAAGAGACCCGGTCGAGCATGCATGCCTCCGCCGAGAGGTGGGTCAAACCTTGACTGGATATGGGAAGGACTCATTGAGAGATGAAGGGCATCCCCTCCTGCGGGCCCCAGCCAGCCTGCACTTGCATCCCATTCGATTTCAAAGCCACGTCACCAAGTATCCTGCCCTGGGGGTGGGACAGCTGGCGCGCACAGGTTTCGGGGCTGGAGCGGGAATACGCCGCCGCAATACAGGCCTGCCGGGCCAAGGCCGAGGCTGCGACCGAGAGGGCCACCCAGGAGGCGGCTGCCACGCAGGCCCGAGCAGCCAGCAAAATTACTGCCCTGCTTGCACGCGCAAGCGAGGCAGAGGCAAGAGCAGGGGGAGCACTGCTGGCCGCAGAAGCGGCCGCAGATGCTCGCTATTCCAGTCTGGCGCAGCAGCTCGACCAGATGAAGGGGGAGGCAGGTGCCGCGAGCTTGCACGCTGGGCTCGCTCAGCGGGAGAGGGCAGGCCTCGCAGCAGCCCTGAGACGAGAGCAGGAGCGGAGCAAGTCGCTTGAAGCGGTGGGGCCATATGGAGAGGCTCAGCATGCATGTGCTTTTGGAAAGTGTGAAGGAAAGATTGCCTTGCTTTGTCTTCAGTAGCACCAACAGGGTCAGACTGCTGGCTCTGCGGGTGCTGGACCCACATTCATCCATTCCAGGGCCATTCCCTCTCACCCATTGGCGTCCAAGCGCCACTGCGGCACCTTGCAGAGCCTTGAGCAGCAATTTCAGGCCCAGGAAGCTGCTCAGGCCCACCTGGCTACCCGAGCCAGGGAATTGATCGCTAGGCAGGGAAAGCTGGAGGCAACCCGGGCCCAGATTCGGGTAAGGAACATCCAGTCAGGACTACATGCTCGCCCTGAGAATGCCGACAATCACCTCCACCACCTCTGGAAGAGGGTCTTTTCCTGGTGCCCTAGATTTGGCAGCCAGCGCTTGGCCGTGAAAAGTACCTCTTTGCAACCGTATAGGACCTAGAAGGCAAGCTTGAGAGTGCCATCATCGAACGCGACGCAGCGAATGACAAGGGCAATGCCAAGGCTGATGCGCTGTGTGCTGCTGAGAAGGCTGTTCAGGTGAGGCGCCAGCAGCGAGACCCTGTGGTGTCAGCAGGCTGCAGCTGGAGCAAGCCTCACTGTGAGCTCGAGTGGATGCTGCCCACCTGACCTCTGACATGTGCAGGGTCTGAAGGAGGAATTGGCAGCTGCAGATGCCAGCCTCGGGGAGGCACGCCGAGCTGCAGACATGGGGAGAGCCAGGGTCAAGCTGATGCAACAGGAACTGGACAGGGCGCGGTACGCCGCAGCAAACTTGCAGGCAGCCTTGAGGTGAGCCAACACTTGATGGTGTGTGGAATGGGAGATCAAACTCTTGATGAATTAGACTGCCATTAGAATAAGCAGATGAGCGAGGTGCACGATGGCCCACAGTCAAGTCAGGAACCTGTTCTACAGCTTCTGATCTTGTTGTCATGCAGGGCGATACAGCTAGATGTTGAGGCTGCAGCAAAAATGACAGGAAAGGAGGGCGTCGCAGCAGTGTGCCGACTGTACCAGACCCATGTCCTCACAAAGGCTTCCCAGGCTCAAGTGATGTCCCTGCCTTCATCCGGGGAGGAGGTATGCCTCTATCCGAACGATGTTGCTGCAGCATCTCACGTAACCAGGTGGGGCAATCTCAAGGGGAGGCTCACCAAGATGGAAAGTGTCTCACTGGCAGGCCAGTCCAAAGCTGGAGGCATACATCCCTTGCAGCGAGTGTGCAATGTATCCCGCATTCTCCTCGCCCACCGTCATGCATCCTGCAAATAACTCTCCTTCCAAGGTGATCTCCCCCACCTCGCAGCACGCCCAATGATGCCCTTCTGCGCGAGCAGGCTCTGCACCGCCAGGTCAAGTCCCTGCAGGGTCAGTTGCAGGCACAGCAGCGCAGCGCAGCGTCCGCCAGGCAGAAGATGGTGGCGGATAATCTGGAGCTGCTGGCACAGCTCCGGGGCTGTGAGATTGGCGTCGTGCATCAACTGTAAGAAACGCTGAAGGCTCCTGGGTCCCGACGCCAGTCCAGCGAACACCTGGCGATGCCGCTCCAGCTAGATCACCCTCCTACTCCTTCGCTGCATGGAGACAGGGACGTCGCCCATGTGCTGCTCCTGCATGAGAAGTGGGAGGGGTTGCGGCCCAAAAATTCTGTATCTCTCCCGCTGTCCTGCTGACAGACGGGGACCCCCCAGGGCACCCTCCCCAGGCAGGAGACGGTGCTGACCTTTATGGCCTGTATCTCAGACTGCATCTCGCGGCGAGAGGGTTTTGCAGGTTTCCTGGGATGGGAGGAATTTGATAAGGGGTGTAACCGGTGTGGAGCAGCGACCAGACTATCCCTGCCTACAGCACATGACCTCCTGCACTCCCCTCACCTGAGTCCCAACATCTCTTGGAAAACCTGCAGCTTACAAAGCGCCACTCTCCAGATCGAGAACCAGCCTGAAATTGTCCAAAAACTATGGCTGTTGAGCCTAGGATAGCCAGCAGATGGGGGGGTCATACATCCTACCACCCACCTCTGCAGCAACCCACCTATAGCGATAAGGACAGCAAGCAGCGCTGACGCAGCCAGCAAGGCTCCGATAGACAGCAATATATTCATATCTTGGTTGAGGATGTAATGTCAAACGCGCTCTCACACCTGCCGTTGGCAATCGGCGTCAAGTGATCCGTCTCATCCCGGTGTCATGGCCCAGGCAATCCTCCTAGGTAACGATGCCTGAAATTCGTTACTCTATAAAAAAGTTGACTGTTCTTGTACAATGCGCATACCTCGCCTATGTCCGCTCTGAGTTCAGCGTCAGAGATTTAGGAGTTGAGTAAGGGGACAGATGCCCCGAGAAGCCGATTTATTTCCGGCTGTGCTGAGGTAAACAAAACTCTTGGCGAACACTTATGAACGATCTCTTCATTACACCTCCTTTTCGGCTCCTCTGCGACTGCTATGGCTGCTATCTTGTGCTGGACGCCATCCCATATCTGGCATGTCTGTCCGGTAGCGAAACTCTGCAGGGTGCAGAATCTCCTGCAACACATTTATCCGTGCAGTGACGAAGAAGAGTGGTTACATGACAGATTATGTACTCTGGTTAGAATTGCATTGCTCAACCTGCGACAACGTCTCTGGAGAATGAGAGTCACGGTTTATCACTGGGAATAATCGATAAAGGAAAGGGGGGGCGTATCAGTGAAGCTGTATGGCATTCGGCGAGCACAAATCTTGGGTTGCAGGGCTCTCCAGAGCTATATAACGACACTTTATCGTCGGGGTCTGAAAAAAGTTTGCTGGCACTTGAGCCCGAGCTCCGAAACGACATCCGCGAGCATGGCGGTCTCGCGCCTGATCCTTCCCCTCCTCTTGTTGGTCGCTTGCGCAAGCGCATCGCGCACCCTCCAGCAGTACGCGGTAAGTGCACGACTTCTTAACATCTGTCATGGCTTTGGGAGCTTACAAGGGCCATCCAAGGCCGGGAATGGGCCTGTGCATCTATCCATGACCGAAGCCATGCTAGGTGCGACCACCCGCATCGTCCCTCTCGCAGGGTGTCGAGCCAGAGGAGTGTAGCGGCACATTCACCGACCAGTGGGACAACGATGAAATTGAGTGAGCGACGAGAGGTTGGCAATAGCATGTGCATGAGCTATCTTCGGCTGCTCCGAGATGATCGGCAGAGATGAAGACGATGGCCGACCCATGCGGGACGGGCACTGCGACCTGATCTTCTGCACTACTACACGCCGCTCAGGTGCCATTTTTGCGATGGACAGCTGAAATGCGATCACGAGGGCGGGACGATCCGCAGTGAGAAGATCGAGTGCGAGTTCGATCTGGGCGCAACCTCGAATGCACTGGAATTTGAGTGCCCAGTCTCCAATGGCGTTGCCAAGTGCGACTGGACCAGCGTGAGGAGTGTCCTTCCAGGTAAGGCACAAGGATAAGGCATTTGAGGTGGCATTCCAAGGCAGCTCATCATGTTGCAGAGATTGCAAGGGTCTTGGCAATGCATGCCCCACGAATCCTTGCTCTCAATATCCCCATGGCAGGATGTGCGTACCCCATCACCCGTCGCATTCTGGAGGCCTGGATCCCCGCCGACTAGCTCGCTAGTTGCTTTTGAGGAGTTATGACCTCCGCCCATGGGATCTGCGCCCCTTCAGAGACACTCTGGTACCCTTCCATGCTCATTCCCCCATCCTGGTTGTCTGTTTGAAAGCAGTATCTTCCATAAACCAGGAACCAGATCAAGATGCGTGTGTGGGTGATCCCCACCTCAAATGTCGGGGAAGTGGTCTCTCAAGGAAGAGAGCCTATCGGAGAGAGTCGTCCGTCAGCTCTCATTTGAGTTGCAACACCTCCCCTTGAGCAGTCTCAAAGCATGCAGTCTCTCAGGGAAGTGGAGGCCCTAGAATACAATAATTGGAGCAATGAGGCTAAGAGGGGTAAGTTCAAAGCTTGACGATCCAGGATCTCGACTCAGGAGTCACCTGGAGGAAGCTCATGACGGAAATTACGATTCTCACAGATATATTGCGCTTTTGAGCCCATGTGGACAGGGGCCTTATCCTCCAATGTGGGTGTTAGGGTCCATGGGTAGGCTATCAAGAACCTTGGGACTTTCCCACTTTGGAAGCATGGGCCCCCCTGGGAGGTGAAGCCTACCAACAGGAATGTTCCTCAACAGATGTGGCTTAGGGTGACGGATGCAAGCATTCTTTGATACAGTTGCATGGCTTCTCACCGGCACCCTACTGCCATCACTGTGGACAGTTGGGGGGATACTTTGCTTTGGTTTAGGTTAGATCCCCGCCCCAGTAAGAATCCAAGGTCCATCAGCACCGGGTACCAGCATCGAATTCAGAAAAGAATCTTGTCTCACGTTGTGTATTTTACTCTAGGTCCATTAGACGGATGCCGCCATTGGTACTATTCCACAGCACGACAAGTACAACCGACGAAGATTTGAAAGTCCGACATGGCCCGGGCACCAGACGCATGAGCGTGGGGCGGCTCTCCTACCCCGCCAGTTGCTCATGTCTGAATTAAAGCAGCATTAAAAACGTTTATATGGAAAGATAATTGGCCGGCATGTTACACATGATCAATGCGAGGAGGTATGTCGCAGGGTGGGGAGTGTTCAAATTATGACTGAAGGTGGAACGAAGCTGCAATAAGCCTACCAGTTTCGGAGGTTCCCGTAGCTGGCCTCATCTTAAAACCCAAAGATTCCCGTGCACTCGTTCGCATTGACGACGTTTTGCTGGTATTCCGTACATTACAACGGCAAGACACCTGTCGCAATGGCCTTTTCACGGCTGGTCCTCCCACTCTTCCTCTTGATCGCTTGCGCAAGCGCATCGCGCGTGCTCCTCCAGAACGCGGTGAGTCGGACACATGCGGGTGTGAACCAGAAACCCAAGTCAAGTACCGCCGTGTAACGCATTACTTGTCCTCAATGTGTGAGAGAGTGTGTGACTGGACGGCACACACACTTATACAGGGGGTGAGGCCTGCGGAGTGCCGCGATGAGTGGGACAATGACGAGATTGAGTGAGTGAACCAGGGAGAGGCAGCATGTAGAGGATGCTGGTCAATTCGTCGGTTCTAAGGACGCCTGTGCAGGCTTACACTGAGCTTGGGGCTGTATGTTACCATAAACCCCTGCCCTGTGCAACACGTAGGTGTGACTTTTGCGATGGGGAGCTAAAGTGCGAGCTGGAGGGGGGCACCATCCGGAGCGAGAAGATCGAGTGCGAGTGGGACGCCGACGGTATCGACAACGATATTGAGTTTGAGTGCCCCATCACCAATGGCGTGGCCGACTGCGACTGGACGCAGATCAACAACCGCCTCCCAGGTGGGAAGAGGAGGGGGGGGAAGTTGAGGCGCATGGAGGTGTGTGTCCTTCGCTGAGTGTTTCTGTAGGATTATCCTTGTCCCCTGGAATGACTGGATTGTTGGACGCACATCATCACCCTATCCCCTTCATCATCCGTCGCCCGTAGGCTGTGCCGCTCCCATCACTCGCCGCGTCATTGAGGCCTGGACGCCCTCTGATTAATCTTTTGTTCCGTCCATGATGCATCCTTGCCATGCTGGCCCCCCTGTCTGCCCGCCACGTTTGTTGTGAGTCCTGAAAGTCTACGATCCGAGGACTGAGGTTGTCCACGTCTTGCTCGGTAACAGTGTGTAATACATAGGCCTGACTTGGGTGCTGCTCAAGCAGAGTGGGTATGTGACACGAGGTGCTGGGCAGGGAATCTCGAGTTATTGGTCATGTCCACCTGAAGCCACTCCCCCCAGACAGCAGTAGACACTGTTGGCACACAGGAGGGACACTACTTCCCCCAGCACTTCTCTCGGGGTCTGTTGAAGTATCGGGTCCCTTCCAGCCATCGGAGGGCTTGTGGGGTCTTTACCCAGGCCTCCATCCAGGCTTCAAACTCCTCGGGAGTGGCATCCATTCTCTCCAGAAACTTGCTCGGCGTCATGTCCACTAGGGCATGAATGCCGTAGGTCTTCACGTGCGGATGCGTCGCTCTCCTCTCCTGCGGAGAGAGGAGCCAAGGGAAGACCTGATCCTGCAATGTGGCAGAGCTCGAAAGTTGCCCGCACCCGAGCCGGATGGAGCACACCCTTGACTCCCGGTATGAGGCTCCCCTCCTTCCCCCCATCCAACTCTTTCCAGGGTTGAAACGCTGCATCCCTGCCCCGGTCCCCATGGCCCACCCTGGCAAAGATGCTGCGAGAGGTGATGCGGAGGAGGGAGAACCTGAAGACGCTGGGGTTCTTGCGCATGGCCTCCACCAGGTCGACACCCAGCTCCTCGCGCATGAACTGCATCTTGCGCTGGGTGTCCAGGCGGTGGAACCCGATCTCCATGAACATGGGGTGCCGGATGCAGATACTGCAGGGATGAGGCGAGGGGGGGAAGGGGTCGACCCTGCCCTCCGCCCCCTGGGTGCGAGGCCTGGCGGCCCCCTGTTCTCTGCATGCCACCTGTGTGTCCAGACCCCAGCGTTTGTGCTCTCCCACACACACCGGCCATGGCAGGGTTGCCCTGTACCCGCAGCACCAGCCACAGGCTGAGGCTGACTGCCCCCGAGTCGAGGTGGAGATGCAAAGACACATGCTTCCCACCCACCTCGCAAGTTCCTTCTGCGTGAAGCCCATGGACTGCGCGGCATCGAAAATTCTCTTCAGCGTGGACTGGGTGCCATGCAGCTTGTGCACATCACCAAGCAAGACCTGAGACAAGGAGGAGTGGGGGGAAGGCGTGGAGGGGGGGAAGGCGTGGAGGGGGGAAAGGCGATGCGTGCCTGGAGGGCCCAGCACTCTTGGCTGAAGCAATGGCATCGCCGATGGAGATACAAGCACCCCACTTCGCCCCAGACGATGGGAAGGGATCCCCTGCAGTGTGCTGAACCACGGAACACACGCTCACACACCCATTGGAAGGTGCCGGCTCCGGGAGCCTATTCCACCACGGTCCTACCTTGGCAGCATCAGCGTGCGGGATGCCCAGGGTCCTTGCCACCCACCGTATGTTGGGTTCCAGCCTGTTGGTGATGGAGGTCGTCGTCACCTTGGGAGACCATCGAATTTTGCACACGGCGTCCTCCTGCGTGACACCGTAGCCCCGCATCCAGGAAATCAGCGAAGCGATGCGTGGGATGGGGTTGCGATTACCTGGGCGTGTGAGTGCGGGAGGCGTTCAGGGGGGGAGCAAGCGAGGCTCGGATGAGGGCGAGCCAAGGCAGCAGCATGTGGCGCTGGCAGGTGCAGGCTCGGGCCCGTGCAGCTTGACATCGCTTGATGGCAAGCCCTGCACGTATGTTCCACTCGCCCCAGAATCCCGCACCGGTCTGGTAGGCGATGGGCGGATACCCCCTCCAAAGCACGCGCACGTCCCGCTGGCTAAATCCCAGCCGACTCAGCGCATCAGCGTTTGCTTGCATGTCCCCAGGGTCTGCCTGGCAGGGGGGAAAACGAAGCAAGGACAGTGCATGTGAGTATATCCTCTGCCTCCCGTCTAACAATCCAGGGGCTCCTGGCAGTGTGCTTAATCACTCCAACCTCCACTCACCCTCAAGATGGCGGGATAAGCTTTAGCCATCTTGTCAATGTGGTAGGGTGCGATGTCCAGCGACGCTAGGAAGGACGCAGCGGGGCTGGCTGGAGGGGTTTGGGCCTGTGGGTGACCAGCTACGAGGACATTTAGCCGCCGGGGGTCTTCCCTGGTCCACCCCAATATCCGCGGGAATTGAGCCTGTCAACCGTTTGGATGCACACCTGCTCAGTCGAGAATCTGAGATCACTTGCTGACGCTAGCTCGCCCTGCTGCTGTGCCCTCGAGACCCTTGCTGTGGCTAGAAGGTCGGGCGTCGTAGCACTTGCAAAGCTGCGACAGGCTCTCCAATCCAGACCATCCCGCCTGCTATGAGACACGAACTGCCGTATCACATTGGCAAGGGAGCGGGGGTAGCTCATCGCCAAGCCACTGGGTTCCGAAACCCGGCGGCACCCCAACGCAGAAACTCCCACCCTGCTCCCCCGGTCCCTCAGGCCGTATCCCTGAGCGTATCACATATCAGACAATCAGGCTTTACACTGAAGGAGCAGCTTCTGGAGAGAAGTGTGTCGGAACGAGGACTCGAAGAGCTTTACTGGCGCCTCTTTTAGTCACCCATCTGTCACAGGTAGTTTTGGTGGAGTGTGCATGCATGTCGAGCGGAGTAGAGTGTCACCAAATGGTGATTCGCTGTTGCCCAGCCTGTTACGGAAGAATATCCTCCCAACACGGGCCCATGGCAAGGTGACGAGGGCGGGATCCCCGTGACGGCTGTGTGCCTTGACGTAGAGTGGCACACACGGCCCACTGGTGTGTCTCTCCGCCGCACATCCCATCTACCAGTCGAAGTGAAGCTGGGCCATGATCGAGTAAAATTTATGAAGGACGCTCTTGCAGCTCTCCCTGGCATGTGAGGCGTGCTTCACCGCATCCTCAGCTTGGAGGATGACCCACTTGGGTCTGGAGTTTCACAGCAAACGCAGGGTGGGACAAGGTAGTGTTCGAGCCTAAATTCCCTTGAGATTTCTCTAAGACCGGGATATGGCCTAACCCTGGTCAGTCAACACCTGGCCATTTGGAAAGGCCAGGGTGAGGTGGTGCAATGGAGCACACAGGGAATGTACTTACCCATTGCCCGCAGCAGGTGCCCCTACCAAGGGTGCTTCCCAGTGCAATAGATGACAGGTTTCTTCGGCGGACATTTGAGGCTGAACTTGATGAGGCCAGGAAGCGTACTGGGAGCTGCTGGGGCAGCCGAGAGCTGGTAGCAAAGTTGACCTTGAAAGTGATGGTTTGGCACGACGGATAGCCTCCTGGTGCATTCCTCACACTGGCGTGGGGAAGGGGGAAAGTCGGGTCTAACTGGCAGATCAAGTCCTGTTTATGGTTTTCATCCAACGCATAAATCACCCGCATAACGGAATGTTCTGCAATGCAGTGTTCAAGTGGCCGATCTCTCAGATTCTGGGGCTCCCGGTGTGGGATTTCAGGATGGGCTATGGTCTGGAGCAGCTTTCGTGACAGCCTTGGGACCGAGAGCCTATACTGGTTCCCATCTCCTGGTCCAGCTCTCTTCACCCTGCTTGCTGTCTTGCACAAAGCCTCCACAGCAGAATTTCCTGGGCAGTCGTGGTGTCCAGCGCACACTCGACTATTGTCGTGCAATGCTGACTGATCTGCACCGTGTGTTCTTCAGGGTCGGGCAGCTGCAGCGGGTCACACATCTGCTGCTCTACGGGACACAAGCGCCTGAATATGGTGCTGTATGGCTGCAATGAAAGGCAGCGCGGTGGCTGCATGGCGGCTGTTGCAGAGCTTCTGCTGCACCTGACGGGCACGGCTTCCGGGACTACAAAGGGATTGCACTGAGCGTGCCAAAGTTGCCCCCTTGATCATGAATGCAGCTCTGAGCTGCGAACCAACGATCGCGTGGAGTCTGAGCTAAGGGAGGAGGGATTAGCCATGGTTGAATGACGTGTTCTAAGGCCGAGCTGGCATTACACGCGTATTCCGCGATGGGTGACTGTCCGGTGCGGGGTCAGACCGCCCCATTCGTCCACTCAGGTAGTATCATCATTGCAGTGGAACACTTACTGCCTGCTCCATTCTTCAAGAAGGGAAAGCGCAGCTTCCCTTTCAGCATCATGAATGGATGTTTCGCCGACTTCTCGAGGGCAGGGAGTTCCGGCGAGGCACAGCTGCACAGAAAGTGTTTAGATCATTCTTGCAGGTGTTTGCGACGAGTCGCTTGTCGAGCAGGATGGCCAGTGACGCCCGCCTGCTCGCTGTACCATCTTTCTGTGACATGAGGAGAATTCAATGCTCCATTCGCGAGATACAGACAATTATAGAGCTGTGTATCACTAGCTACACTCCATTTAGACTCAGCGACCCTGTAATCGCAGCTGGGGATCTCCCGAGTCGGTATGCATTCCAAGCCGCCGTTCGCTCTCCAAGCCCTCTGCTGTGCCCCTCATACTGTAAGCCTATCTGTAAGAAGAATCGATGCTCTTTCGATGTTTTATTTCTCATACTCAACCCGAGCCTTATCTGAGGTGATCGATGGACGGTCTTTCAGATCTCGCCCTAGTTTCGATCACTCTCGATGCCCACCAACCTCCGTCCCTCCCTATGAAATGTATCAATGCGACCACTTTATTTGCAGGCATGTTATTGATTACGGACAGGAGTGATGCGTTCGCCACTCGTTTATTTTCAGGTCCGTTCCATCGGATCCATGGGGAGATTGGTCTTTCTACACGTGTGGATCTGCCTGCAGGTGCCTTCCCCCAACTGCGAGGGCATTGCCAAGATGAAAGGGGGCGGTACGGAATTTATTTCTGACATGCTCAATTTGCTGTTAATTTCCACGAAATAGCTGCATCAACAATGTCGAACCTAGTGTGGCCTCTTGTGGCCGCGCTCATGCTGGTCCTGGCCTCTGGTTGCCAGGGACGGTCCCTGATGGACAACGGGGTACGAGGGCAGAGGCAGAGCGATAATTTGGTCCATTGTGTAAATGCTTGGTTCGAATTGGCATGCTCTGACCTCCTCCATGACAATCGGGAGGCCAGTAGGTGGCGAATAGGCACATGCTGTTCACAGCCATCCTTATCCGATACTCTCCTTCTGACCTTGCGACGCAGATCGACGGCGGGGGCAATTCTGACGGGAGCTCCGGCAGCGGTGGCGGAGGCAGCTCCGACAGCGGCAACTTTGATGGAAACTCGGGGGATTCCCGGAATTCTCGCTTCAATGGAGACTCCAGGGACAGCTTCTCGAACTCGGGCGGTGGTGGACGCGGGTCGGGAGAGCAGATTCCCGGCGAATGCAGCCATTCTGAGAACGGGGAGTCGTACTCTGATTCCAGGCTCGGGTGAGGAAATGGTACGCTGGAGTAGATTTGTCAGCAACGCTCCCTCCCCTCGTTACTTCAGGCGTAGCTTCTCTGGCCCTGGCAATTTTCAACCCCACTTTCAACACAGATGCAACTTCTGCTCTGGGAACTCTCTCATCTGCAATCGCGGCGGTCGTAGCTATGAGGATGGGTACGCTGACTGCATCTTCTATCGCGCTGACCGCTCCGAGGTGAACTTCAGGTGCCCACTCAGGGATAGGAGCCTGAACTGCGACTGGGACAGCATTCATCCCAGGTTCACGAATGATGATGGAGGTGAGCCGGGACGGTTGGCGGGGGGTCCCTGCACATGGGAGACGCACTGGAGGTTGAGGTCTGTAGCTCGAGAGACTTCACAAGGGCAGGCAATTCCCGGCATGAACGAGGAAGAGTGTGAACTGCACCGAAGCCAACCACTGTGTCCTCTCCACAGGCTGTGGGTACTCCTCTACCCACTCGCTGTTGAGTGAGTGGGCTCCCTCTTTCTGATGGGTCGCCAGGCAGCTCCATGAGGCACTGCACTCACACAAATCGGAACAGTCTGTCTCGCTTCCACGTGGTCAGTTCCCGTCTTGTACCCAGCAGATTGTCCTCAGCATGTAGGTATGGTATGATATGATGCCACTCATGTGTGAAGTCGCAAGTTTGTAGTGAAACTTTGATGCTTGTCCACTTGCACTCTCCTTCCGAGCTGGTACCCCGATAATTGTAACACCGTGGGTTTGAATCTAATTCACATGAAACATGAAATTCCATGGGGCAACTGGCTGTCCACCTTGGTAATGATTGTTTCGCGGGCAGGGGTGTGCAGTACTCCCTCGGGGGGACTGAGGAAGGGGATGATGCTCGTCATCGCGTGTCCTCATGACGGACGCAGCGTCAGCCTGTTAAATTTATCGTGAGACGCATCATAGAAACCACTTCTTACAGTGGTGTGCATGCAAGAAACACCAACGAGGGTCGTCGCAATCGAAACGATATGGATGCCCTAGCATGATCTCCTTCCGAGGATCTCTGAGTGGCAGCTTCCCCCCGATGCATGGATCTTGATCCCGGACGCGTTTTATCTTCGAGATGGGGCATACTGAAGCTACACATCCTGTCTTAACTTCATTATTGCAATCATTTCCAGCCTTCGCACAACGCAATGAGCCCAAAAATACTCACAATTGCCGTCCTGGTGCTGGCGGTGAGTGCGTCGGCCAGGCGCGAGCTGTCCGCCAACGACCCGGTAATTGCTCGAGAGGGTGCTGCATGAATTTAGGGTACCTGTATAGTATGTGCAGTGACTCATGTTGACCCATTTGTGTGTGGCGAGGTGATCGGGTTGAAGGGGGAAATGAGCCCAGCACCGTCGGTCGGCTTCGCATTGCCTACACATCCCTCCTGCCCAGGGACCTAAACCCACCGAGTGCTCCGGAACCTTTACTGAGGAGTGGAAGCATGATCACATAGAGTGCGAATTTGGTGTTGGGAGGTGCCAGGAGGGACTGTTAACATGGTCATTACCCGGATCCCACCACGTCGCCCAGGCAGCCCAATCGACCATAAACCCCACTCTCCCAGGTGCCACTTCTGTTCGGCCCAGCTGAAGTGTGAGGTGCATGGCGGCACCATCCGCTCTGAGAAGGTTGAGTGCGAGTACGATCCTGGTGCCCTGTCCCGTGCGACCAATTTTGACTGTCCTGTTCAGAACGGCAAGGCAGCGTGTGACTTTTCCTCCATCAAGAGCAAGCTGCCAGGTGGGGTTTCGAGCGGGTGGAGTTAAGACGGAATCCTTCGTGCATGGAGCGGGCTTGTCACTGTCGTGGTTGGAAACTCCATCTCCATCCGAACGCTGTCGGTGACACTTCCTGTTCCCGTGCACAGGCTGCGCCTACCCCTATGCACTGCGTGTCCTCCAAGCTTGGATTCCCTCCAGCTGAGGTATCGATTGCACCGGTGGCAGCCTGTTTGTGTTCTGCTTCAACGGTGCAGGTTGTTTGGCGATGATCCTTGAGTACCCATGTTTGGCCAACTTTTGTTCGGATGCCAGGTAACAGGATTTAGAAAAAATAGCATGGAGAACGAGTATCTGGACTGATCCAGTGCAGTGCCGGCCATCTCGACAGTCTTCGGAAGGGTGATGCCTAACGTGGACGGGCATCGTCCAAGAGCAGGTCCCCAGATTTCAACTTGGACATTCATATTGCCCTCAGCCAGCCCATCCTAAGCCTCAACCTATTTCGAGAGTATTCTGGGATAAGCTCGTTATACAGCCGAGCACTGAAGTCATGTCTGAGGCTGTGGGTCGAGGACAGAGGTGGGCACGCCCTCGTATTTTCGGATCCTCCGAGCATCGGACGGAGCCGATCATTTCTTCCACTGCCAGATTTGCACCACTTCAGAAACCCAACGAATGTGAACGAAGACCTTCATCGACCTCCACGGTGAGTTTTGTGGTCATCCTTCTACCAAAGAACGCAATGTCGAGGACCATGCGTGCCGTCTCGTGGGAGCTCCTGCTTCTGATCAGCCTGCTCGCAACGGGGACCCTAAGCCGATCCTTGCTCGCCGCAGACGCGGTGAGTGACGGCCTAGCACATTTGAAAAGTATCAAAACGTCAATCCAAGGCAAAGTTCGGCCATCATGCCAGCATCGGCACAGTACGATGCCGGTGTGGAAGCAGGTCCTCATGACGGCATGGCGCAGGGTTTAAATATCCATCCTCCCGACATCTCTCCCTCCCTCATTTTCTACTGCAGGGTCCCAGGCCCAAAGAGTGCAGTGGAAGATTTACTGAAGAATGGAAGCCCACCAAAATCGAGTAGGAACTGGAGGGAATATGCGTCACCCGTGCATGTAACTGCTGAGGATTTGTGAGCTGAGGGGTACATGTCGGAAGCCACCAACTCTTCCTTCGCCGCCTCTGCATTCCCATCACAGGTGTCACGTTTGCCCCGAGAAGGCTCAGCTGAAATGCGAGGTCAAGGGTAACAACGTCCGGGATGCATACACCCAGTGTGAGTATGACATGGGTGCACTCTCCCGTGGAATCGACTTTCAATGCACAGTCGAGGATACAGGGAGCCGGTGCAACTGGTCCCGCCTGAAGAGCATCCTCCCTTCAGACAGCGACAGTGAGTGTTGCGGAATGAGTTCTCTGAATGGTCTGAGATGGCTCCATGTATTTGGAGAGTGGCCGTGCAGCAGCGTCTGGAATCTGCTCGAACCTCCTGCAAGCCCTGGGGACCTTGATGGTCAAAAAGCAGCCGTGAAAAACTGAGTAACACTTGCAATGCGAGGTACCTGCAAGACATCTAAGCCATGCGCCAGCTTGGTGTCCACACCTTTCCTAATCTATCCCCCACAGATTGCGCGTATTATGCCACCTACTCCATCCTGCAAGACTGGGTTCCCTCCCTGGACTAGATGAGGTGCCACCCGCGCTCCCCTGAACTTGCCTCTGCTGCATATAGTCAGTTCCCTTGAAGTCGGAAGCTTCACCTTTCTAAGTGGGCGTTAAACATGGACGGGCCCAGTAATCATACCCAAACACTAGTGTCACGACGTGATCTTCCTGCAGCATCTAGAAGTTGTGCCATGAGAAGTGTTGCAAGGGCAATAAGAGCCGTGCAGGGGTGAGGGGCACAGAACATTAGTGTGAGTGAATGCAAGAGTGCAGTTTCATGCCATCATCCTTTGCAGGCTTTCGAATCCACGTCAGGTCTGGTGGGTCGCATGCAGCAGGTCATCATGTGACCCCAGCACAGGAATGACGCACCCCTGCGCCCGGCAGTGGTCGATGAATGCCGCCCAAGGTTCCGAGCACTGCAGCGTGGTGGCCCGTCCCACCACCCACAGCGCTCGCTTGGCACGCGTCAGGGCAACATTCTGCCGTCGGGCGTCCGCCAGGAAGCCAACACCTCCCCTCGAGTACTGCGCGCGCGCCCTGCAGTGAGGGGGTGGCTGGCGCTGTGTGGCAGGCGTCGAGTGATGGCGGGGGGCCCCGGCCCCGAGGCGCACCATACGTCTGGGGTTGGTGGGTGGCTTGCTGTTTGGTTGCCGACAGCCGGGCATGGAAGCCCGCCTCGCGAGAATCGCGCCCCAGTCCCAGATCCCACCTGACGCTGGAGAATATGACCACGTCCGCCTCCCGCCCCTGGTAGCCGTCAACCGTCGAGCACTCCACCCGGCCCTTCAGCGCTGCATTCGCTGATACATGGCGCTTGAATGCCGACACTTGCGCGGAGTAGGGAGCGAGCAGCACCAGCGACTCGACCTCGCCGCCGTACGAGCCCAGCAGCTCTGCGGAGCAAGGCGGAGTGGCAGTGGGAAGACGGGTGTGTGTGTGTGTGGAAGGTGGGGGTGCTGCCAGGGGTCGCCTGCTGCTTGCATGCAGCAAGCCCCTGCAGGGCCAGAGCTTGCTGAGCGATACCCGTCCAATCGGTCCAGCGTAGCCAGCATGCGGGGCTGCCTGCACCGTCCCACCTCGCCCCACCAGCTTGCCTGTGCACAGCTTCAGGGCCAGCTGAGCTTCCTCGCGGTTCTCCAGGGAGCCGCCGCTCCCCCTGCTCTCCATGCCCTGCGGAGCAGAGGAGGGTGGGGAAGGGGCTGCTGTGTGAGGTTCTCAGGAGTACTCTCGTCATCAAGCAAAACGTCATACTTGGGAAAAACAGGCAAGCATGCCCCATCTCCCCAGCTCGACGTTCTGTTTCAGGAGAGGCGTTCACCCCTCGGGCGCGCACTACCACCTTGCTCAGGAACAAGGTACCAATCTCCAACTCCACTACCCTACTCCTTTCACCCCCTTCACGGCCTCTTCACCTCCATGCAATCGAAGAAGGCCAGGGGAGGGAAGCAGCGGTGGGCATGGAAGGGGGCGGCGAGGGTGTGGACATCTGGGCCATCCACCAGCTCTGCATCATAGAAGAATCTGGCTGGCCAGGCCGAGATGGCGGGGTGCATGCGGTACTGCTCCGTCAGCATCTCCACTGGGGTCCCAGCCTGTGGAGTGCGGGCGAGGGCACGGCCGGGTGGACTGCATGGAGCGCAGCAGACACCGGGTCCGAGACCTTCCCAGGAGTGGGGCTGGCAGCGCTGCAGATACCTCAGAGTGCCGCGGCGGGCCTGGCGGCCCTCTGCGCAGCCGTGCTCTTGTCACACCCTGCACAGCTCCACCGAGATGAAGCAGCCCACGCTCTGCTGGCACAGCACCCCAGGTCCTCCTCAGAGCAATGGTACGCGAGCTCACCTTCTGGCACCTCTCAAACAGGCTTTGCGACAGCATCCCCGCAGCAGCACCACAGCTGATCACCGTGGCGGGGAGCTGCTTGGGGTCACCCACTAGTACCAGCTTCCCTCCGGGCGCCAGCAGGTGCAGGGGCACGAGGCTCGCCGGCTCCACCGCCTGCGCCGCCTCGTCGCAGATAATGGCATGGAAAGCCAGACCCGGGGGGAAGATGTCGGCCCCCAGCGCGCTCAGCGTGCCAGCCACTACCTCCGCCTGGTTGAGCGCATGGGCCCTCAGATCAGGCCTGGAGGGGAGGGGGGCGAGGTGTGGTGGTGGTGGGTAGGGTTTGGGATGGCAGATGGCGGTGAGAGAGGGGAATTAGTTGTGGAGCGTTGGAAGGGAAGGGTGCGGTTCAGAGGCGCAGCCCTAGCCACTGGCCCCGCGCCCCAGCAGGTCAACTCAACGCGAGCAACTCGATGTACCCACCCCCCAACCTCCTATTCTACCTTTCCCACGCAATCAATCCCCTTCTCCGAGCCCAAACGACCCACCTCCTGCTCGACGCTGATTCCTTGCTGGACTTCATCCGGGCTTCAGCCTGGTTCTTCCTTTCCAGCAGCTCTGTCTTCTCGCGGTTCAGGCTGGCAAGAGAGCTCTGCGTCCCCCTCAACATCTCCCGCATTGTCTGCATGGCGGCCTGGATGTCCTCCAGATCCTCCTCCCACTCACTGGCCTGCGGTGGGGGTGGGAGGGATCGACCGGCAGATTGGCACCTTGGTGGGTCGCCCCACGGCAGTGCCTGCCGTCTAGGCACTTCCCACCTGGACACTGGCACCCAGTGCGGAGAGCAAACGGCTCGATGGCCGTTTGCCACCGCTCTCAACAGCCCCTCACACCTCACCAGGGCACCTGAAAGAGAGGCCGGCCATGTGTCGCCACCCTCCAATGGCCCGGCCGCTGATCCACCACGATTCATACCGTCATTCCCCCTCCCGCTCATCTCACCGACTCGGAATCGCCGTGGCGCCGTCGTCGGGAGGACGACTCGTTTTCCAACTCGTTCCGCAGTTCTGAGATCATCGGGCGAATCAGCCTTGCTTGATTCTCCTGACACTCTATGTCCTGGAGCACATTCTTCAGCTCCTTCGCCACGTCCTGCACCTCCCTGGCGTGGCTGCCCCATGCGACTGCGGGGGGGGGGGGGCCGTGGCCTGGCAGGTGGGCAGGTGGTGTCACGGACACTGGTCCTTGCAGGTGAGCGGGGACGCAGACGGCGCCGAGGCACGCTGGACGGCTGTGACATGTTCCCGCCATGGCGCATATCGGCGTCAGAGGCGGCCTGGAGACAAGGAACTCTCAAACAGGGCCAACCCCGCAAGGCCCCTCCCCCAGCTGCAGCCACTCACAGCCATGCCCCGCGCCGCCCGCCTCCGCCCTTTCCATTTCCGCCACGATGGCATCGATGTGTGTGGCGGAGGCCCGAGGGGCGGCGGACTCCAGCGTGCCCAGCCGAAGCACCCTCACAGCACGTGCCTTCCCGTAACTGCACGATGTGGAGGAGGTTCAAGCTGGGTGTACATGTGTGTGTGCGTGGGGGGGGTTACTGAGTGTGGGAGCAGTGGTCGATCCATCGCCACCTCAGGGTTTGTGAACCAATGCAGGTTTGTCCTGCCACTCTCGCATCGCCCCCCAGGGGTCTCGGTTGCCACACCATGAAGCAGAGGCGCACGAGATGTCCCACCATCATACACCTTGCATCCTTTTTGTGCCTTCTCTGTCACCAGATAAAAATCAACGTGCACCTCCACACCCCACAATCTTACCCAAAGCCCAGGCATTCCATGCCCTCCCTCCAGCTGCCCAGCCCCCGCCCTCCCACCTGTCCAGGATGCCCCGCTGGCACAGCCGCCCCACCAGCTCGTCGACCGCGGCGTTGGACTGCGCGCACAGGAGCACGCGGACGGCCTCACCCGACGCCGGCCGGGAGTCCGAGCAAGGGGGCGCAAACGTGCCGCCCGCCCGACCTCGGGCACCCGCCGCGCAGCCCAGGAAGGCCGCCACCATGCCCAGGATGGCCGTCGTCTTCCCGGTCCCCGGAGGCCCCTGCACCAGGGTCAGGGAGGGGCCGGAACCCCATCCGCCGGCCCCTGGCTGGTCCCCACGGCCCGAAGACGGCGGCCTGAAGTCCACCAGTGCGCCGCGGATGGCGGCGAGCTGGGAGGCGTTGTGCCGGGCCGCCAGCGCGTTGCGGAGGGGAGCGGGAAGCGGATCGTCGTGGTGCGGCGCGCCCTGCCCTGCCGTCGCTGCCCCGGGGTCGAGCAGCAGGCGCTGCAGGGGCAGGGGCAGGCGCGCGCAGCGCGCCAGCGCCGCCAGCTGCCGGTAGTGCGGCGTGAGGGAGGTGACGCGGACCAGGATCGCCGTGGACCCCAGGGGGGCGCATGCGCAAAGGAGTAGGGTGGGCGGGAAGGGGTTTGGCGATGCTGGGGGCCGGGCGAGGGATGCTCGAACTCGGCTCCAGCCTGGACACAGAGCTGGCACACCAGGGTGGAAGAGGAGTTGCCCGGGGAAGAGGCATGGCCCTCGTCTCTTCCAGCGCCACCCCCCCCACCCTCAACCCCACCCCCCCAATATTCCCTCAGCCCTCACCTGCTGTCTCGCTGAGACGGCCCTTGATGACCGTCAGTCGAGGTTTGCCGCTCCTGGACGCCTCCTGCTGCACCGTCTCCACTAGCAGGAAACAGGGTGCGGGCGCCGGCGGCGGCGGCGGCGGCGGCGGCGGCGTGGCACCCCGGCCCGCAGAGGCGCCGGCAACATTCCTGCCCGCCTGGGCAGCAGGGAGCGGCGCCATGACCAGCAGATCCTCGCTCTTTGTGCAGAGAGCACCCTCGTGCCCTGGGTAGGATATGGGATGAAGGGGGGTGTTGGTTTGCGTCGGCCGCGCACCCTACAATCTATGCAGGCTGTCAGAACAGGATGTGTTCATCAGGTCTGTGCATAGTGCATCTCACTCCCTGGCAATGCAGCTCTCGCGCCTCCCAGCGTCTCTCATGCCATGCACGTCCCTCCCAAACACGCCCACCCTCACCACCGCCACCACTTTTGTGTCACGCCACCCCCTTTTGTCCACACCTTCCAGGATCTCCCATACGCAATTGTGGTGGTCGCTGACGCGCTGGCACTCCGCCAGCCTCGCCCTCGCCAGCCCGTCCCCGGCGCCGCCCTCCAGGCGCTGCAGCACGCCGCCCTCCGCCATGGCCAGCTGGAGCTGGGCACGCACCTCCTCCACCAGCAGCGCCCGCATGGTCTGCATGCATCATGGTGGAGCGAGCGTCGCTTGAAACGCACCATGGCATTCATACGGTGGAATGCACCGGCATCAGAACACGGTTGCCTCCTTCGTGTGGACCCTGCCTCCCCTGCCACGCGCCTGGACGTAGGCGTCCATGCTCTCAAAGCGCTGCTCCATGCGCACGCCGGGGTCAAGGGGCCTGGCCTCCAGCGACCCCGGCGACAGACTCAGTACCTCGGAGAGCAGCTGCGCGAGGGTGACGGCGGGGGGGAGGGCTGCCCGTGGGCCCCTGCCGCCCGGCGACGCCGGCGTGCGCTGCAGGAGCCAGGGCGGCAGCCCATCCTTGGCGACTGGGGGTTGAAGAGGGTTCGGGGGGAGCTGTGAGGTTGTGTGAGATGGCGGGAGGGGCCCCCTCTTCGCGCTTCCTTCCTCCTACTCAAGCCAGGAAAGGCCCACACCATGCCATTCACCCCGTACTGTCCCACAAACTCGTCCCCTCCGCATCATATCAACACCCTGACTGGGCCTCCAGCCCCACCACAGGCTGCCCCATCCCCACCTGGAGAGCCCCCGGCCCGCTTGTAGCTGGGAGGGGAGATGACCTTGATGGCGGGGCATGCAAGTGGGGGCGCACCGCCCGCCCCCTGCCACACCGCCGTGGAAAGCATCGGGGGATCTGCGGAGGGTGCGGGACCTGCACCGGCAGAGGTTCTTGGCCCCGTTTGCGGACGTGAGGGCCCGGCAAATCCCGAAGCTGGCGTTGCCTGCTGACAGTCGTCGTCCGACGATGTGCTGGAGTCGCCCCGTGGAGCTGCCCCCCCCGCCGCTGCAGAGTTTCCCCCTGGCACTCCTGCCCCCCCTCTGGTCATTCCCCGGCCTTTCAGCCCTCGGCGCCGCGCCTGGCCCAGGACCCCTCGCCGGAGCGAGGGTCGGCCAGGCGACGGCAGCATCCCCCGGGCTCCGCTCTCGCGGCAGGGACCAGTCCGGGGCGCGGGAGCGCTTAGGGGGCTGCCAGTTGCGCGGCCGCGCCGGCCGCGCGGCCGCCGCCCGCTGCCGCTCGCCCCGCCCTCGCCCTGCCCTGCCCGCATCCGCTGCGCCGGACCCCTCGGGCGGGGCCCTGCCCGGCCAGGACTCGGGCCAGAGCCGGTCCTCCGTCACCGCCGGCTCCTGCGGGCTCGTAGGGCGGGCAGGGCTGGCACCCTCGGTCAGGTCGATGGTCTCGCAGGCGGCCGGCGCGGCGGAGGGCCCGGCTCGTGCCGGCTGCTGCCCCGCGTGCCGCCAGTGACCCCCAGCGCTGGCGAGCGGCCTGACGCCAAAGGCGGCCTGGAAATCAGCCAGGGGGCGACGGGTCTCCTCTCGCTGGACGCGCCTTGCGCCGCTGCCCCTTCCCCCCGACGCAGGCCCAGCGTCGGGCGAGTCGGTCGCCGCCGCCTCCTCTGGCCACATGCCGGGGTGCATGCGCCGCAGGACGCTGAAAGCGGCGGGCAAGGGCAGGCGTGTGGCGGCCGCCAGGAAGTCGCCCGCCGCGGTGCGCAGCGGCCCGGCGGCCAGCAGGGACCCCAGCGCTCGCGCCAAATCCGGCGCCCAGCCCGCCGGCTGCCTGGCCCAGGCTGCCGTGCGCGCCCAGCGCGTCAGCGCCCCGCCAGCAATGGCCAGGAGCCGCTCGGCCACGAAGAGGGGGGCGGAGCCCACCGCCACGGCAGCCGTCTCGCCGTAGGCCTCGCCTGGGGTACAGAGGGTGGGTGAGGGGTGGGGTGGGATGCATGCAAAACTGACCACAGTGGGCCGTGGTATACAAGCAAGGCCAGCTTTACTTGGGTAACGGGTCACCATGCGCTGCAGAAGGCCTCCCCTGGGAGAAGCTCCCTCGATGTCTGGGGACTCCCGGTATGGCCTCCCATGTCACAGTTGCTGCGCCAGAAGCAACACCGACCCCGACTCCCAGACGATGCCTTCCTTTCCCACACACACAAACCACCGTCGCAGGCCTACTGGCAACGACGCCAGGCGCAAAGCGCGCAAATCGCGCCGCGTCCTGCCGCGCACCGTCCAGCTGCCGCGCCAGCGTGCTCGACAGGCCCTGGGTCGCGATGAACCCGCCCAGCATCGAGTCGTCAAAGGGGCGGGCCCCTGGCACGGGCTGCGCTTGCGCTGCCCCTCCTCCCGGCCCCCTGGCGGCCGCGGACCCGGCCTGCAGCTTGGCAGCGGCGGCCAGCAGCGTCGTGGCCGCCGCCACGTCATCGCAGGAGGCCACCGTCTCCCAGACCCCCCGGAAAGCAGTAGTGAGGGATGGTGACCCCCGCCGCATCCCCGCCCGGTGCCAACGAGGCCAGCACGGCCGCGCAATCGCGGGAGAGGAGCGCTTTGGCGGCGCCCAGCGCCGCAGTTACCGCCTCGGTTGGCCGCGGCGCGGGCCCGCGCAGCGAGCGCACCAGCGCCGGCATCCACTCTGATGACGTGGCGGCCAGCTGGGTCCCCGTCAGCCGCTCGCTGGCCAGCAGCGATAGCCCCGCGGCAGTCACGGGGCCGCAGAGGTGCCTTGTGCTGGCGGCCGGGCCTCTCAATATGGGGCCCAGCAGGCCCCTGATCGCCGCCGCCAGCTCGGCATCAGAGCCTGGGGTGGTGGGGGGGCAGAAGGGTGGTGTGGTTTGTGTGAGTGTGGGTGTGGAGCATCGCAAGGGGGGACGAGCACACGCATGCATCAGCACCTTGCGGCTGCCCCCGCTCACAGCTGCATCTTCGCAGCGGATCAGGGAAACCTTTCTATTCCCAGGCAACCCAAAGCGAGTGCACCATCCATGCCAAATACACACCCTGGCCAGGGTCCTGTGCGGCTGCGACGGCTGCGAGCAGGGCCGTGTCGAGGACGTCGCGGTCCAGGTCAGCACGCTGAGTCAGCGCGGCCTCGGCCGCGAGCCAGACGGCCCAGGCGCCGCAGGGGATGAGGGCGGGCAGGCAGCCGACGGCCGCCGCGGCGGCCGCCGGGCCGCCCCCGGCGCAGGCAGCCCTGCAGGCGTCCAGCAGCTGCGGGGCCTGGTCGCCCGCCAAGCCGTGCGCCAGCCGGGGCAGGAGCAGGGTCAGGGCCGACCACGCCAGGTGGGGGTCAGGGAGGGGGGCCGGCACGAGATGGTGGCGGCACGCATAGCGTGGCTCGCGTCCGGTGGCCGGGCCCCTCACCCCCTCCACCAGCAGGTCGAGGATGCCCCGCAGGTCGGCAGCGAGGAGCCGCGCCGCCTGCTCATCGAGGACGCCCCAGGCCTCGACAAGGGAGCGGGCCTGCGCAGGGAGAAAGGGGGCGAGGCTGCGCCGTCAGCATCGAGCCCGACGAGCCCGGCTACATGACAGGTGGCCGATTCCCCTGGCCACCATGTTATTGCCCCCCCTCCCCCCCCCCCCTCCGCTTAGGCCCCCACCCTCTCCTCACCCAGGCGCGAATGGCAGGGGAGGGGTGCACCAAGAGGGCCGGCACCCCAGCGTAAATTTCCTCGCTCCTCTCCAATCCCAGATCAAATTCCTCGACCAGCCGGCCCAGGATGGAGCCCAGCGCGGCCACTAGGGCGGGGTACCGGAGCAGGTCCGGGTACGACAGCACCGTGACCACGGGCGCCAGGAAGCGCCCCACATCGTCACCAAGGGGGCCATCAGCAGGGACTTGCAATTTCTCTAAGAGGAGAGCAACTGTATCGCAGACACAGTCGGATGCCATGGCACGCAGGCTTCCCCGAGACGCTCAGCAAGGCTTGTCGGACCCCTCCTCGAGACGCTCAGAGACGTACGGCGATGGGTGCTCACATCGCATAGTGCAATACATAATATGATAAAGCCATTCTATAATATCTGGGTGTCGACATCCTGGATGTGGGTCCTGCACATGTGTCTCTTCGCGCTTCATCTGCGAGCGCGTGCGCGCAAATCACCTAATGATATTGCGAGGTCATCCATGACCATTACACAGACTCTTTTACGTGATTGCAACTCGTACAATACGGTTCCATGCACTCAGCCCTCTAAAGGCACATCGTGTATGGTCGCCAGAATCTGGCGCGCGGCATTGTATACCCTGGCGCATGCCTCACGCCGGCTTTCCACGACGGTGGCATTCCACTCCTAGAAGAAACATGGGAGGAGCAGGGTCAGCAGGGGGCGAGATGTGTCCGACAAGGTGTGGCGCCAAGGCAGCCCATGCAGGGTGGTGGTGCAGTAGAACCCTCTGCATGTGGATTGAGACTCTTCCCTGACCTTCTCACCTCCAGCGGCCACCATTGGGGCTTCTTGTTGTCTCTGTAGAGGGCGGCACCCGCCTTCTTCAGGCCCCGCGCCTGCCTGTCATGGTCAATCACCTCCCTGATCATTATCTTGGTGAGTTTCTGGGAGAGCAGGAGGAAATTGAACACGATGAGTTACGGGAGAATCGGCCATCCATCATTGGTCGGGGGTGAATAGGGATGGGTTGGATACCCAAGGACCACATAAGACAATGATGAACCCCTGCATCTGCCCCTTGAAGCTCGATGTGCCCCCTTCCATGTGCACCCAACCTCTTTAAATTCGTGCGCAGAGGCAGGCAGCAACCACACTACCACACCCGTCACTGCCCTTACCTGGAGCTCAGCGCCCTTGAACTGGCTGGAAGGCTTCTGCCATTGGAATGACTTGGGACCTGCAGCACCAGAGTAGGCTCCGCTCAAGATAAGCTGTCAAGGAGGATGTTGTGTGGGTGCCTGCAGGGCTGCATGCCCACTCAGGGCTTTGGCTGAGCCCTCGCCTTGAGTGTGATGAACACGTCCCCAACAGCGACCAGTCTTCCCTTCCAAAACAGGCCTGCCGGGTATTCCCTCGGCCCCACCTGCCGCAGCTGCATCATCAGCGTCTCGTCGGTCCAGCTCTGCCGCCAGCTCAGCAGCCGAGGGCGCGGGGCTGCCAGGGCCTGATGCACTGACAGTGCGCTTCAGCAGGGCGGCCAGCGCCCCTTTCCTCTCGAACAGCTCCCGCTTGCTGGCATCCAGGCGAGGGCCCTGTCGCCGGGTGATGGGCAGTGCGTGTCAGGGGCATGCACAGGGGGCAGGTCCAGCCTGTCATTGTGCTGAGGGTCAGGCATGGTATCATACGATTCAGCACGCGCAGGCTGCCCCATTTGCTCAGCGATTGCAGCGGTTACAGACTGCCTTCATCGGCCAGCCGAGAGCGCTGTGTTGAGCGTGGCCCCTTGGCACCCATCCTGGTCGTCGGAATTCACACCCATCGACCCCTCCCCTGGCAATCACCTCAGAACTGGGGGGCGGCACTCCCCCTTCGCTCGTCGTCTCCGCATCGTCGTCATCATCATCTTCCTCCTCAGACGAAGACGAAGCCTCCGACTCCTCGCTCTCCTCCTCCGAGTCCTCAGACTCGTTGCTCTCCTCCTCCGAGCTCTCGCTGGCTGCATCTGCGTCGGCCGTCGCAGGCCCGGCGCTGCTCACCTCTGTTGCCTTGTCGCCGTTCTTGACCCCGGCCTCGTCGTCCAGAGAACTGGGAAGGCTGGGGGTCGCCTGTGGCAGGCCAGGGACGAAGGGCTCAGGAATTAGCATAGGGCACTGGTACCAGGTAATGGGCAATGAGATATGTAGCGGGCAGGATACGCCACCCCAAAGCTTCTCAGTCACCCACACAAGGACGCCTCCCTCTGTATACCACCAGGCAGCAAAGGGGCTCAGGTGCACCACATCCACGCCCCAGCCCCTCTACCTCGCTCTCGTCATCGCTCTCGCTCACGTGAGCCTCTGCTGCGGCGCCCTGCGGCACTTCCGGGGCTTCCAGCTCCTCAATCTCGAGCGCAGGACGCATGCGTGGCTGCTTTCCGCTCACCGAAGGGTGGCCGTCCATGCGTGCAGCGCCCTCGCTGCTCTCATCAGGCTCGCTCTCGGGCTCTGAAGAGTCGGACTCGGAGGACTCCTCCGACCCCTCGTCAGACTCCTCCTCCTCCGACTCCTCCTCAGACGTCTCACCCAGACTGGCTTCCTCCTCCTGGGCATGCGGTCGCAAGAGGGACCCTGCAGCCGCCGCCCCGCCCGCACCCTGCACTTTTATCTCGCCAGCAGCAGCCGGGGCCTCTGCGCCAGAATTTTCTGGGACGCTGGCCTCTACTGATGGCTCTGGCCCAGACGTGGACTTTGCCGAGCTCTTCCCCTGCTTGGCTCCATTTGCTGCTGGAGGTGGTGCTGCTGCAGCAGGTGGTGCCTGGGCGTCTCGTGCCGCCTTTCCAGTCTGTCGCCGACCCTTGGAGGGGCTGGCAGCAGGCTGGGGCACGGCGGGAGCAGCGTTCGCACCTTCCTTGCCTCCCCTGCCCGAGGGGCTGGCCGCTCCAGACTTATCCTCAAACACGCCGAGGTGGAGGTGGGGCAGCGGGGAAGAAGGTGGGCTGGGGAGTGGACGGCGCGGGGCTTTCTGGGTCGCTGCGGGCTTCATCTCGGGCGGGACCTCGGGCCCACTCTTGGCCACAGCCGGAGGCTGGGCGGGGAGTCGCTGCTGGGTTGCTCCTGCTGCGGGCATGGCGGAGGACAGATCCAGCTGGCGGGCTGTCTTCCGCCTGGCCTTCTTGGATGACTCGGGGGCTTTGGGGTCCTCCACCGCAGGCTGGGCGGGGGCAGGGGCTGCTGGTTGCGTTGGACCCGCAGACAACGTTCTGTCTGCACCTCCATGTGTCGTCGCTGCGGCACCCTCTGCACCAGCTGCTGTCGCTGCTGCCTGCTCCACGACCTCCTTCTTCCCTTTCTTCTTGTTCCTCCTCCTCTTGGACAGCTGGCCAGGCGAAGTCTCGCTCTCCGCGGGGGCTCCCTCCAGCAAGGGTGCGGAGGCCAGGGCCTCGTCAGCCGCTCTCCCCTTCCCTGCTGCTGCCCTCTTTGGGGCCAGACCGTCGTCCTTCAGCTTCTGCCTCTTGGCATCCACGTGGCTGGGTGTCATGGCAGGCGGGCTGATGTGCTGCGCCCCCGATCCCGCCACCTCCTCGCCGTCGCTCTTCCTCTTCCTCTTGTTATTCTTTCCAGACACGGCCAGGCTGGTGGGCGGCGTGGGCTCGCCGGCTGCCAGTGCCACACACCCGGCAAACACCTGGCTGGGGTTGCTCGGCAGAGCATCTGTCACACGAGAGAGGGAGGGGCTGGACCCTGCTCATCGCATGCTGAGAATCTGAACATGCAGTGCATGCACCCAACTCTTGCAGACAATGGGAGCATGGCAGTCCCAGCGTGACACCCTGCAACCCGTCAGGCATCCTCGGTCCCTAAACCGACCTGCAAAGCAGTCTATCACTCACCTATTAGGCGGTACAGGTCTGGCACGACATACTCCTGGGAGAAGTCGGTTTGGGCTCCAGTCGTCGCCGCTCCATCAGCCGGCACCACCACAGTGGTCACATAAATTCTTCCGTGGTCGGGATAGGCGGTGGTGTGAAGACGAGCAATCTCTCCTGCAAAGTATTTGGTGACATACCGGAGAATGTGATGCTCAGGTCCACATTGTCGAGCTTTGTTGTCCTGTTCAAGGAGTCGCCCCTCCTCCACCCCCTGCCCCTCTGGCGTGCCGGAGACAGGACTGTACCTTTGAGCTTGGAGATGGTACTGTCACTTGGGAGCACCACCAGCAGCTTGGTTCCGAAGCTGGTGCGCGTGAAGATGCGACGGTGCGGTCTGTTGGACAGGACTCGGGACATGGTGCAGTGGGCGCGAGGGCGCCGCGAGACTGCTGTGGCGGCCTTTCCCTTCGCGGAGGCCTGCACCTTTTGCAAACAGCCTTAAATGATATCCAAAGTAGAGGCTTGCCCTTGGGATGGGCTCACTCGCTGTCGACGAGGCTGGCTGGGACCCCAATGCATGGGCGCGCGCAGACAGAGCGCGCGGGCGCCGCTTGCTGTCCCGTTTGGGATGGTGTGAGCATTTGCACCACGACGCAACCTCGGCAAGAATCGCAGCATATCAGATTGCCTTACAGGGGTCACATGCTTGTACAGGCGAGGCTTGGCACATGCCTAGCAGTGGGGCATTTGCTGCAGATACGAGGGGCCACGTTGAGCGCACGCAGGGGCGGAAGGGTCTACTGGTCACAGGAGTGCATATCGTGTCGGCGAGGGATTGGGGAGGGGGCCCAATGAATATGCCAAAGCGTCTGAAACAAAATCGGCCAAAAGTATACGGGAGAAGCGAGCAGAGTGAAGCTTGAGAGGTGTGGAGAATTATGTTCGCAAGAAGGAGGGCAGCATATCGCCCCGCTGATGGGCATGCACCTGAAGCCCTGCCATGCAACCCCCCGCGCATTGGGATGCCGGCCAGGACTCCCCAGCAACCGGCTGCCCTGTAATGCCGGGGATCGCCCTGGCCCCAGTCGCCTCAGGCCGCTCGAATGCGGTCGCCGATGGGGGAGTCGCAGCGCCCTGCTGCCGAAGGAGGCCCTGCTGCCAGGAGGCACCCGTGGGCCTGGTATGCCGCGACGACGGCCTCCTCCCCCTCCTTCGCCGCCAGGGCGGCGTGCAGCATGGCCAGGAAGGAGAGCGTGGGGCGCGGCGTGCTCTTGTACGTCACCTGCACCGGGGACTTTGCGCTGGCAGGCCGGACGGCTGGCAGGCCCGGCACCACGCCGTTCCTCGGTGTGGGGCGCGGCCGTGGTGGCGGGGGAGGCGGGGGGACGACCGTCATCGGCCCAGGCGCCCTGTCGGTGACTGCAGTCTTCTGCCGTCCACGGCCCCGCCCGGACCTGGCCTGCGCCGAGGGGCCCCGGAAGGTGCCCTGGGGCGCTCTGGCACAGCTGGGGCCGGTGCTGGGATTTGGGAATGCCGCAGGCGCAGGGCCCTGTGCCGGGCCAGATGGGGTGGGACAGGTGGTGAGGGGCCATGAGTTACAAGCCAAAGGGGGTGCACTGTAGAATCCAGCCTATTCTCCTGGCAGCCATCAAGGTGAAGTGAAAGGAGTGCTTTCTCAGCCGCACACATTGCGTACCTGAACCTCAGCTGTGTTCCTGCCGGGCGGGGTACGATGCCAGCGTTGCTCAGGCTGCCACCGACCTTCCCTCCGCCAACTCTGGGCACCCTCTCCCCCACTCTGTGAATAAGGCAGGTGGAGAGGGGTGCCTGCTGGTTCACAGCTCATCGCGGCCGGAAGGGTTGGGAAGGTCTCATTCCACGATGACAGACAATGCCTGCGATTCATTATAGCAAGATGGCCTACCTCGAACCGGGTATGGCGACCAGGGGTAGGGTCCTGCTCCAAAGATCGGTGAACATGAGGGCCCTGCCTGTTTCTGCCCCTCATCTTGCTCATAGTGTTTGGGAGGCTTTCCACGCCATTCTTATAAAACGCGTGCGGCCTCGGGCGCACATGCGCGGCAGACGTGTTGTTCACGGCTGTTCCATCTCCCGGATGTCCTTCATGCGGCATCGTGAGCCACTGCCTCGCGCTATCAATCTAGTCCAGAGTGGCTGTTTGCTGGCCCTCCTCCCTGCACGGCTGTGGGCAGTCTGGCGTCAGTGTCGCGGATATTTGAAGGGCTACAACGAAGTTGATCTGCTTACCATGAAGATTTACAATTAATGCGGGCCCTTGTGATGCTCACCGAGACCACACGATCAAAGCTACTCTTCACCAGCGCTTATGCGCGCTGAGTCGGTACAGAGAGGGCGGCAGACCGTCCCCAGGGGATGAAACGAAACTTCAACAAATGCTGGATCGTTTTTTCCGATCACAAATTGGACTGGAGAGGCTTGATTGGTTATCTCATGACATGTCCCCTAGATGTGCGGTCATGTTAACAACGATGGCGCCTCCCTCCTTTCTTCCATCAACAGCTCGGGAATGAGTGGCACTACTGGATCGGTTTGCAACGCCCAGCTAGGTGATTGGATCCCATGTCGCGCTCGCTGACCATGTGCTGCATACCTCTCCCCTTTGGCGCCTCGTTGTGTAAGCCTGTCTGGTCGACAGGGTGTGTCGAGTTATTATGATTGCAACTGCGCAGTGTAGGCCCGCTGCAGGGCTTGGGGGCATGAATAGTGTGCAAGCAGGGCTCGGTGCAACATGGCCAAAAACGTGGCAGGCTTGCTCTCCTTGGCGTCCGGTGGGCCCTCCATCGGTAGCTCTCCAGCGCTGAGCTCACTCGCCTCGTCAGCCTCACTTGTGGTTACCCTCACTCGAATGCAATGCTTGGGAAAGACATCACTCTGCACCTTGTACCTCCCGGGATGGACTGGCTGCCTGGACAAAGAGGGGGTGCTGCACAGTGAAACTGCCCCCTGATTCGGACTTCACGCGTTTGGGCGATGGTACAGTGCAGTTGCATCAGTGTGGAGGGGGTGAACGTCACAGAGGGGATCTTCCCATAACACAGCCACCGCCATCCTCACCAGACATGGTTCTGACCAATCCCAAGCATGGGTGTGCGCGCCGTCAGCGCGCCAGTGCCGTCCAGCATCCGAAAGGATTGTGGTGGTCCAGATGTGACGTTGAGGTGCACCCTCTGACCCACCGCCAGGCTGAGCCGCCGGGGAGCACAGGTCGTCAAGCCAGCTCGCACGCGCACCGCATCATCTGGGGATATCCGTGGTGTTCATGGTAAAGCATGCAAATGCGAGACCATGCCACACTCTGTGTATCGAATTTGCGTGTGAATGGGTCTCACCTTCCGGCATGACCGAATCTCGAGCACGTTGACCTCGCCAGCGTGCGCACGGGGCCTTCAGATCCGTGCCATCCCCGCAGGCCATGGACCTAGTGCCGGCGACGCACTCATCCCTCCTGCCTGGTCAGGTGTCACGTTGCATGCTGTCCAGCACGATCCACACCCAACCCTTGGTCGCCTGCTCCCCCCTCAATGAATCCGCGCCCGGTCAGATAGGAAAGCACGGGAAGGCGCTCTGTTCCCGTCAGTGCGCTTGGCCTCGCACGTTTCCAGTCACGAGCATTGCTGGGGCGCGGGATGGCCCTCCTACATTCTCTCTATCCTTTACCACCCTGCCACTCTGTGTCTGTTCATCCACATATACCCCGTGACGCGACAAAGATGTCAGGTGGGACCCACTACGGCCGGTGGTCGGTTGCCCTAGTACCCGACCCCTGGGGCATGGGACACGGAGTCGTCTTCTGACCGACACCCCATTGTCAATTCCTCTCCAAATACTGCGGTAATGCATTGTTCAACCCCTCCCTCCCCTCCTCTCACCCTTGGGTTTGTCCCTGCAGCTGCGATGGCGCGCCCCGTATTCGGCCAGAGACAGAGCATGGCTGGCGTGAGCCTGGCCCCCGCCCGCTCCATGGCTGCCCGCCCCCAGCGGGCTGCCCGCCGGGCCGTGACCACCCAGGCCAAGCTGAACAAGTCCAAGATCAACAAGGTGGTGCTGGCCTACTCTGGTGGCTTGGACACCAGCGTCATCCTGCAGTGGCTGAAGGAGACATACGACTGCGAGGTGGTCACCTTCACCGCCGACCTGGGACAGGTGAGGGCCTGGTTGGAGGAGGGGTTTGGGGGTATGGGGGGATGGGAGCAGTGGTGGGAACCTCCCTCCTCCAGGACCGACGGGCCACCCCTTCCCCACACCCACCCCCTCGCGCCCAGGGCGAGGAGCTGGAGCCCGCGCGGCAGAAGGCGGAGGCCGCGGGGGTCAAGGAGATCTTCATCGACGACCTGCGCGAGGAGTTCGTGCGCGACTACGTGTTCCCCATGTTCCGCGCCAATGCACTGTACGAGGGCACCTACCTGCTGGGCACCTCCATCGCGCGCCCGCTCATCGCCAAGCGCCAGATCGAGATCGCGCGCGCGGTGGGCGCCGACGCCGTCTCCCACGGCGCCACGGGCAAGGGCAACGACCAGGTGCGCTTCGAGCTGGGCTACCTGGGCCTGCAGCCCGACATCAACGTCATCGCGCCGTGGCGCGAGTGGGACCTCAACTCCCGCTCCAAGCTGATCGAGTATGCGGAGAGCCGCGGCATCGCCGTGCCCCAGGGCAAGCGCAACGAGCCGCCCTTCTCCATGGACGCCAACCTCCTGCACATCTCCTACGAGGGCAACGCGCTGGAGGACCCCTGGCAGGAGCCCAGCGAGAGCATGTTCACCCGCTCCGTGTCCCCCGAGCAGGTGCCTTTCATTCTTCGTCTCTTCTTGAAGGGGGGAGGGGGGTCCATGCTGGGTCGATCTTGGGTGCCCTGTGGGAGTGAATCACGGGTGGGGTCTCGGGAGCAGGGCCTGGCTGGGGGGGGGGAGCGTGCTGTCTCGAGCTGCATGCAAGCCTCGGCCCCCTCCCATCCCCACGACCCCACCCTCCCAGGCCCCCAACACGCCCACCTACGTGGAGATCGACTTCGAGAAGGGCGACCCCGTGGCCATCGACGGCGTGCGCCTGTCCCCCGCCACCCTGCTGGCCCGCCTGAACCAGCTGGGCGGCGACAACGGCATCGGCCGCGTGGACATCGTGGAGTCGCGCTTCGTGGGCATGAAGTCGCGCGGAGTTTACGAGACCCCGGGCGGCACGGTGCTGCTCACCGCCCGCCGCGCGCTGGAGAGCCTGTGCCTGGACCGCGGCGAGGCGCACCTCAAGGACGAGCTGATGCCCAAGTACGCGGAGCTGGTGTACAACGGCTTCTGGTTCTCGCCGGAGCGCGCCGCGCTGCAGGCGCTGGTGGACGAGACGCAGAAGCACGCCACGGGCACCGTCCGCGTGAAGCTGTACAAGGGCAACGTGGTGGTCGTGGGGCGCAAGTCGCCCTTCTCCCTCTTCGACCAGCGCGTGGCCTCCTTCGAGGACGACGAGGGCGCCTACGACCAGCGCGACGCCGCGGGCTTCATCGCCCTCCAGGCCCTGCGCCTGCGCACCCTGGCCAGCCAGCGCGGGTCCCCGCTCTGAGCGAGCGGAGGGCGACTGCGGCAGACAGGGAGGGGGGGCGTGGGGGGTGCTTGTGCGCCTGAGTACTTCTGAGCAAAAGGAAGGGAGCCTTCTGGTCGGAGAGACCGATGCCGGCCATGCTTTCCCAAAACACCCTGGGTAGCTGCGCCAGCTTTGATGAGCAAACGGCCCCAGCGCGCGCGCTTGCTCCTGCCCGGGTGAACGCCACGGAACCCTGGATGCAGCCCCAGCCAGCACATTTCTTACCGTCGCACCCTCCACCCGACGCACCCTCTACCCTGACGCGGGAGAGTGTCCACCCCTCCCGCCACACCAAATAAGGCCCATGTAAGCAGCTAGAGAAGAGGACAGGGGGCCACAGGGGGCTGACGAAGGAGGCCTCAGATGGGTGGGCTGGCATTGTAGCCATGTCCATGCCGATCGAACCTCAACTGACACCCCAGGTGCCCCATCCTCTCTGCATCACAGACTTGGGTACAGTTACAAACCATTTCAGTAAGGGGTCTAGGTCAAGGACACCAAATACACAAATCCCAGGAACAGACGAAGGAGCTTGCACTGCAGCGCACATACAGTGCGCAATGAAGCGGACGGGAGGGGAACGTTGCAAGGGTGCCCTCCAGCAACGCCTCCTCGGAAACAGTTCCACAGACCCAATCTCAAGGTGTTTGCCGCGCGCGAGCGCAAAGGGGGGGTGGGGGAACGAAAATGGAGGCAGAGGTTGCCGTGGCATGGCTTGTCCACGCACACTGGGATGCGCATGAGGAGCGGGCATCCATCCCCAACCAACGGCAGTGCTTCCCTTGAGCAACACGAAAAAAATCCCAGGACCCACGCAGGCGGCCTGGCGGCCGCCTCTGGCCCCGTCCCAGCATCTCGGCGCCCCGCCACGTCAGTCCGGCCCGCCCTCCAGCTCCTCCAGCGACCCCGGGCCCTGGGTGGCGAGCTCGGCTCGCCCGGTCATCGCCCGCATCGCATAGCAGTCCTCGGTCAGGGGGGGCAGGGGCATGGACACGTACTCCTCCAGGGACAGCCCGATCTCCAGCGCGGCGCAGGTGCCGATGATGTTGCCCTGCAGGGTGGACCAGGGGGGTGGGGAGGGGTGGGGGTGTGGTGGGCGACGGTCGAGGAGGGCTGGAATGGCGCTGCCTGCGCCTCTGCAGCGGCCAATCACCCGAGCCCCGGTCTCCTTCCGTGCATTCGATCCTTCCCCCTTGCAACA